TTTTTAGTGCCATGTGAAAACCTTTTTATTTTTCCAGTATTTTAACAGTTAACTTTTTAACTTTAGTTTTAATATTCCATTTCATCCTGTACCACTGCTATACTTTTGTGCTGATTCAGTTGCAATTGCTGTGGTTTTATTGTCTTATGTTTTTTTTCTTTCTTTCTTGTTTGCGTTTTTTTTTTAACTTTCATTAACCACCCAGACAGCCTCAGCTATCAGGCAATATAAAAAGGAAATAAACTCTGTTGTCCTGTCTTCAATGAGCTTTCCTTCACTAGCCCAGGAGATCCATTCCAACAGCACTTCTAGCAAGTGTTTCAAAAACAAGACCACGTTTGCTTTATTACTCTAAAATATGTCTAGTTCACCTTTCAGGGAATGAGTCTGTCCTAGGCAGCCATACACAGGCTTTCAATCCAACCTGTTGTTGTGGGGATAATATTGAAAGGAGGAGAATGATGTAAGAAAAGGGCAGGATATAAATCTAATATATAAATATACTATAAAGTCCCAAGAAAGCTAGCTAATTATTTGATCATATAATACATACTTTCTGATAACATGAGAACAAGTTTTAACTCCAATAACTTTAGCTGCGTACGTAAGTTATATTTAATATTATCGGTATTTCCTACCACTAATGCAATATATCTGATTTTCTCTGATTCCACCTTCCTACTTCAGTTCCCCATTCCATAACTCAGGAGTATCCTGAAGGTTCTCCAACCAATGACTGCAGCAGCAAGAAATTTCACTTGCATGAACATCTTTGCACATTGAATACAATCTACTTAATCTTCCAGTTCGAGTCTAAAATGTTACCACTTTATCTATAATTTTAGAAAATATTTATGCTCCCTGCATATGCTGCTGCCACAGATCTTATAGCTGAATGTAGCCTGAAATCATGAGGTAGAATCAGGAAATAGACTCTAACCTATGGAAAAAAAACTCTGTCTTGAAGGGAATGCAGAATAAGGGATATGAAAGCCAGGAGTAGATGGCCTGAGTCCCCTAAGAGACCATCAGCAGGGTGTAAAAAGATTCAGAGCATTTCATCCCATGCCTTTCTAATCAAGGAAAGTCAAAGAGAAGAGCTTAAACTAACAGCCTTTCTAAAGAAACTACCATCACCTGAGACAAGTCTGCATGTCTATGCATGTTGCTTTTTTTAGTATATATTGTAAATAATCTAGAATGCCTTGGTAAATCTATGTATATATAAACAAATAAATTCATGTTGAAGCATTAATGTTCAGCATGATAATAGACATTAATAACTGACAAAACATACCTGTAATTAAAATCATTTGATCACTTCTATTTATGTTTCTGGTGCTATTATGTTGCCACAGATTAAGTACTCACTCCTAAGGTGACAAACCCATTCTCCCATACACCACAATAGTATCAAGTAATGTTGATAACCAGTTTGGTCATGTCAATGCCCTCAGTAAGATCTAGAGATAGCTTTGGAACTAACAGCTCCATCAGAAGTATCAGAAAGGGCTGATCCCTACCCACCATTAGGTACAACTTCAAAATTTGTTCTTGAGGGCTGTGAAGCTTTCCACAGACTTTTTTGGGTGGGGAGAGGCATTGGGAAGAAAGTTCTGCTGTACTATTCACTAGCACAGCACTGGATTTAATCCAATTTTAATAACATCATCTGCACTTGCCCAGGCAATACTTCACATAACTAAGGGGGGAAAATCTGAGATAAAAAGTGTCTTACTATTAATCCTAAACAAAACCTTAAACTAGGTATGGAAAAAAACTTGAAACAAAGAACTCAACATCTGGATTAGGAATCTTTTTTTTTTCATTCACTATTCTTCACATGAAATAAACACTGTACTGAAGGGCAAGCTTTAAGACATAAAACAAGGGAAACAGCATCCCAAATTAATCACCAACATTTGTCAGTTATTTAGTACCTAGCTGAATTACCCACTAATAAATTCCTTTTACAGATCTGTGCCATAGTTAACCATGTTATGACTTGCTACTAAAAAGAAAAAAAAACCTGAAAAAAACATAAACACCATTAAAAATACAGATAAGAAATTAAATGGAGTGGTAGTCTTTGCTGTTTTAAGAATATGTCATAGTGTGAATGAAAAAAAATAACTATAGCATAGTGTTAACTATTACAATTATAAATGGACTGGAGGAGGAGGAGCCCCCAGCATTTATTTAAAAAGTAAATGCTCCTTTATATCATTGTAACTGAATGTCTGGGGGCAAGTGATTGGAAGTTCCCTGGAGCTTACAGACCCTTACTTATTTCCCTGCCTCTATTTTTTCTGTGTATGCATTTTTAATTAAATGCATCCTGGTAATTTGACAGCAAATGTTAATTTTATCATAAAAACCTCACTATTTTTCATAATCTTTCCTTCCCCGCACCTATCCTGCACTAATAATCCTGAAGCTACTTGTCTCAATTGGCCTTTTTCTATGCAATAAGTTGCTGGTGGAACAGAAAACATGGATTTAAAGGGATGCTCTATTGTGTTGCTCTGTGGGTCTTTTCACTTCTTCTGCTTTACATTCATGCTCTAAAATTTATTTGCTTCAGTTTGCTTTTTTCTACACTGAGTTGCAGGTAGGGCAAACAAATGCAGTCTCAAAGAGTGCTTCTGTGTTGCTGTACGATCAGAGTCACCTCCCTCTTCACTTTGAACTCTTTAAAGTTAACTTGTCTTAGTTTTGCCTTTCAGTGTAATGGGTTTCTGCAGCAGAGAAGACCTCTACCTCCCACTTTTAATGATCCCTCAGTTCCGCACTCAAGTCAGCTTGCCCTGCTGTATAATTCACCAGAACCACTGAAAGTATGTGTTTAAAAGAACTCAAATAAACTGATCCACTTGCTCAGGCTGTAATAACACCTTTGCTTAGTTAATATTCTTGCTTTATGAAATCATACATTACTTTTGAATGTACAGTATTTTCTGGGTATCTTCCACAAAATGGAAAACTTGTGGGGCATATGCTCCTGGATCCAGTTTCTGCAACACACAGCCAGTTCACGAGTTACGATCCATACAGTTTCACCACCCACCTCCAGTTCTTCCATGCTTCAAACCCACAGTGGGGAAACCTAGGCTTTTAAAGCCCGCTGCCCATTAAACAACCATCTCCGCCCCACCTCTCACTTTCCTAGCCTGCAGCATCTTATCTCCCCTCCAAGTTTCTTCCATTCGCAGCAGCATCTCGCGCCTGCGGCCCACTTTTAATAGAGACTTGCGGGGGGGGGGTCCGTCTCTCTCCGGGCCACCCCGCCTCCACCTGTCACGCACGGCCCCGCCTGCCTCTTGGCAAGCGCGCAGAAGAGAGCCTGCCCTTTCGCTGCCTGCGAGCGGCTCGTCTTGCACCTCCACCCCCTCAGCTGCCACACGGGTTCCCGCTCCTTCCTAGCCCTGTCAACAGCTGAAGAGGCGGGGCGGGAGGCGGCAAGCGGGGGCAAAGCCTCCGGGTGCTCCGGCTGGCCCGAAGAGGGCTCCCGCGTGAGCGCGCCACGGAGCGCCACCACCGGCCGCAAAAGCCCCTTTTGTTTGGCGGCGCGGCTTATTATGAAGAGCGGCAGCCCTTCCAGGACGGATATGTTGGCCGTCCGTTCACGGCGGGAAGACTCCCCCCCGCGCGCGCCAAAGAAGAGACTCGGCACCTTCATTTTCGGACCATCGCGTTTCAAAGTGCAAGGGATTTGCGAGGGAAAGACGGGGAGAGGCCGAACCGACAGCTGTTAAAACTGTAAAGGCTTCCCGGACTGTTAGAAGGGCAAAACAGGAAAACGAGGCACTCCCCGCCCTTTTAGTGAAGACAGTGTGATGCACTGGACGAGGCGTTTTTTCCCCTCCCTCCTGTGGAGTCACAGAACAGCTCGCGGGGGGGAAGAAATAAACCGGCCGAACCAGCGTAAAAAAGCAAATAATAAAGCAGCTCTTCCTTGGTCCGCCCGCCCAACAACAACGAAGGTTTGCAAAAAGTACACATACGGGCCCAAAACTTAAATTCTTACCCGCTGGGAGGTTTACAGTCCCCTGGCTGAAGCACCGTAGTCTCCATGGACGGCTTTAAGGCAGGCGGGGGCTGTCGCGACTGCTTTCTGAATGAAGCTGCAACTTCCAATTGGCGGAGGGAGAGAAGCGAAATTTTTAAAAGACCTGCACACACAAAACACCTCCGCCCAGCCGATTTCTTTCACTCTCGGACTCCGTCCTTCATTCACGCTCAGTTCTCACTTGAGAGTCCGAGCAGACTTGCGCTCATTCGCGCCAGGCACCCAAAACGAAGCGGACCGCGCGCGCTCACACAGGAGTGTAACCGCTGCCTGTCATCCAGCGAGCAAATACTGAAGCTGCCTTCGTCCTCGGGCTCAAAGCAGGCTCGGGAAAGGGGGGCACCGGCAAGGGTAGCCTCTCCGCTTGCGTCCAGGCTGTGGGGCAGGAATACCCGCGGGATTTCTTAGACGATAACTGAGCCTCGGCTGCTTTTGCCAGACATGGGCGGGGGATGCACGGGGAAAGCGATACAATATTTATGCGTCCAGCAGGTATTTTCTTTCGGAGCAAGCCGGCTTAGCCTAAAAAGACGAAAGCAGCGCAAGATCTCTAAGCCAGCAAGTAGCACTAGTCCCTCGTAGACCAGAGCTTAAATTCGATCTAGGAGAGCCCCAGAATTCGATTGCAGAGGACAGACCAGGGCATGGAATAAAAGAAGCCCCTGAGCACATGCAGAGTGCCTTTAAACTACCGCGAAGGTTTCAATATCATAATTTACACTTGCAAGGGCGAAACACCCATCCCACGTGGTGAGGCTTACTAAGCAAGCATGCATGCATTTGACTAAGCAAATAAGCACAAGCAGCCTTCCTAACTCTGCTTCCAAGCTACAACTGAGCCGCGGCCGCGACCTGTCCAAGAAGTTACGGTAAACTCTCAAGACAATGAATGCTGACGCTAAACCAAAAGCTTCCGCTGCCGTCCATTTACCTTGGTGCTGCGCAGGGACTTGTCGGGTTGCCAATTCCCTTGGACAGGTTGAAAGGCGAACTCACCTTTCTAAAAACCTTGCTTGGTAACGGAGCCGGAAAGAAATTTAAGCCAAGAGGACTAGGGGAGGCGGCTTCGGTCGGTGGCAGTAGCGAGCACCGCGTTTCCATGTGACTGCTCGGGACAAATGCACACACCGCGACGGAAGAATCTCTGGAGCAAAACGAAAAGTGGCGCGCGCACACACGGATCTAGCCTCGCAGGACGCCCTTTGATCGTGCGCACATGCAAAGCTGGCCAAACAAACCTGGAGCATAAGGAAATCCTTTGCGTACATAACCCAAATACGGCACAGGAGTGTGGAAAGTGTAAAGTCTGTATCTTTTAAAATATGAGTGAAGGATTGTTCTTTCTTAAGTGTAGAATCTGTATCTTTTAGAATGAATAAAGGCCTGTTCTCATTGTCTCCCCACAAGATTTAAGAAACATTTTGGCATCAAGTAAGAATTTTCAAGGCCACTTTGGCCTGTTGACCTCTTAGAAGGTACTGGGCATGCGTAATAAGTTTATGAATAGTAAATGACACACCTCTCATAGATAATAAGCTCATTAGCATGAACATGGGATGTATGATTAAGGAGTAGTATGATATAGGCGGATGGGGAAGATTGTGACTTCTTAGTAACCAGCCAATGGCAAAGCGGGGATAGTGTTGAGCATGGGGAAAGGAATGTATAAAATCTCTTGTAAACAGTAAAAGATTGCTCTTTGTTTCTCAGACTGCTGAGGCATTGAGCCAGCCTTTGCAAATGCTTTTTGTATGGAATAAACTGCTTGTACCCACTCGAATTCTGTCTCAAGGAGTTTTAAATCTCAGGAGGACATTACCCACCCGCGAAATTCCAAGAGTGGAGCTGTGGATGATTATGCCAAAGGTCTCCCAAAGGTCACATACGTGGGTTACAAACGTTCGAGAAGGACAAACCATGATAAAAGGAGTCATTCTTCCCTGTTAGTAATGGTATAAATACATGGAACTGTGAAGGCGTCAGCAAGGATAACAAACGTATATAAAGAAGAGTGTAATAGCATCTTTGCAATGTCCTCCCAGATCTTAAATCCTAATCAATTTATTTTTATAATATAAATTATTGCTGAGGAACCTAATGGATGCAAGCATTTCCATGGAAGACAATGCCACTTAAACTAACTCAGTGACAAGGCAGTGGGAAGCATGTATTTCACTGGAAGCAGAAACCTCTATATAGAGAATTATGTTACTTGTTTCCAGGCAGATGGTTAGGCTCCAGAAGGCTGATATCCAGTAAGCCGTACTGTGAGACTACAAGCAATAGCACATATCCCCACAAGTGTTTCTTTCCCATTTCTGTTGGTAAGAAATTGCAATTCTGCTATTTAAATGCAGAAGGAGCTTTTGTTTTTGCTTTGTAACTATGGGATAGAGAGAGCTGGTGTGCAGAGTAAGGCAGCATGTACACCATCTGCAACCTTTAGTATCTCCACAGAAATTAGGGAGACATGTACCTCATGCCAAGAACAATGTTAAAAAAGGCAGTTTGACCTGGGTTCATTGAGACCCAATTAAAAGGGTGTAGAGATAGGATGTTGCTGGTGGGAACATTTTCCCCAGTACTGCCTCATAAGAACATTATTGGACTCATTAACATTTGTGCATCAGTTCCTTTGGCCCATTCTATTTATTCCATTTGCCACCTTCCTGTGGTACTTGGATTTTTCAAAGGTGTGAGAAAGAAATTTGGCCAAAATAAGCAGGCCAGTCAAAGTCAAAGTCTTATAGAAAATGAGTTACTGGCATTTAAAGAAAGCAGCCAAGTCAGATCAATCATACATTTGGTGACATGAAATGTTGGTAGATGCCACCCTCAAATATTGAGTTCTCAGATGATAAACCAGAAGGCCAAGGACTGATCTCTGGGAATCTTTTTGGCATAAGAGATTATGGTAAATATACCATGAATGAATGAATGAATGAATGAGGCTTATAATTGTGTGGTTAGGCTACTTTTGGGGAAACTGTGACAACTCCAAAATTAATGAACCAGTTTGGACATACTGTGCTACCAAATGTAAGGAAGCAGTAGAAGTCTATCTTTGACAGGTGTAATTCCATAAGCACTTGAATGGAAAAACACCAGAAAGTATGGGCAAAGTATGGCTTTGAAAATTTTTAACAAATTCAAGATACATTATCTATCTTGGCCAGCACATAGAAGGTGCTGGCTTGGATAATGTGTGGACAGAATTAAGTTTGTATGCATCTAACAGTATATGTGCTATGATGACAGAAAAAGCATATTACCATTTGCATCTGTTGATGTGTGTGTACACACACACACACACACACACACACAAATATACTGCCATACTATGGCACATATACTCACTCATGTTGCATGACTGGTAACCAAACACCACAAACCCTACATGGAAATAAAAAAAACATCTGTTACCAGTTGTAGTTGATGCTTTCTGAAACAGGGAACAATTTAATGGAGATTGACTGCAGCCAAGATATTAAAAGACACTTGCTCCTGGGGAGAAAAGCTATGGCAAATCTAGACAGCATACTAAAAAGCAGAGACATCACCCTGCCAACAAAAGTGCCTATAGTCAAGGCTATGGTTTTCCCAGTTGCAAGGTATGGCTGTGAAAGTTGGACCATAAGGAAGGCTGAGTGCCAAAGAATTGAGGCCTTTGAATTGTGGTGCTGGAGGAGACTCCTGCGAGTCGCTTGGACAGCAAGGTGATCAAACCGGTCAGTCCTAGAGGAGATCAACCCTGACTGCTCTTTAGAAGGCCAGATACTGATGATGAAACTCAAATACTTTGGCCACCTAATGAGAAGGAAGGACTCCCTGGAGAAGAGCCTTATGCTGGGAACAACAGATGGCAAAAGAAGAAGGGGACGGCAGAGGATGAGGTGGCTAGATGGAGTCACTGAGGCAGTTGGTGTGAGCTTAAGTGGACTCCGGGGGATGGTGGAGGACAGGAAGGCCTGGAGGAATGTTGTCCCTGGGGTCGCGATGGGTTGGACATGACTTGCGACTAACAACAACAACACCATTAGAGTGTGGTGGTGAGCCCATTACAAGCTTTGGGCGAACAATTCTTCAATGGTATCATCAAGCATGCCAATGCCCAGCATGTGACAACCCAAATTTTATATTCTGGACCACTTTCATGACAATTGTTGAAGATCTTGAGGGACTTCAAGATGCAGCTAGAGAGCCAGGTAAGAGAGATGGTTTAACCTGGAGTCCTGCATTGAGCAGGAGTTTGGAACCAATGACCCTCTGGTCCTTTCCAGCTCTCCTCCTCTGATTCTGCGATCTTACATACTGTCCTAAGTAGGAACATTTTTTACTTAGCTGATATGAAAAGTTCAGCACTATAAATCTAGTATGGGTTCATAGCTAGAAATGTTTGGGTGAAGCAAAGTAAAAACATGCTTGTGTACCTATGTCCACATACTAATTCAAGCATTTTGAATAAATATTGAGCAGATTTGGGGGGAAGCACTATTTCAATGAGGCAACCTGCAATCTTTATTCTGATTTGATAGCAGTGCATTTTTAGCCAAATTTTGCTGGCAGTTAAATTTAGCAGAATATACAACATCACGCATTCCAAAGCAACCAGTGCTCCACAATTTGGACACTTGTTAACTTGTAAAATGTATTTGACCTAATTGGTTCCACTTTTAATCTTTGTCAAAAATGAAAAAGCATGTGCAAATCAGATGTGATTTTCTTTAATCTACAATTCTATGCATGCTTACCTGGGAGTAAAGTTAAGTGAACCTAGTAGGACTTCTGTTTGGGAAAGGTTTATGTTAAAATGTATGCTTTGACTTTCTAAGCAAAAGTTGAGGGGTATTTGCTTATTTTGGGGCTAATAGTATCTTAAAGGTGTACTGTTAAGCTTTTTGTTGGCAGTAGTACTTTGGCAGTAGTACTTCGTTCCTAAAGCATTATGAAGCACAAGGAAGGGGATGCCTAGCATTTCTTTGGTTTGGTCCTATCTGTTACCTGCAGAAGGAGCAAATTTATCCTAAAACCAAAAGTTTATACCATCAACTGCTATAGCAGCACATTATACAAAGCAAGCACGTCTTCAGCTCTGCTGCTTCTCAGTATTCCTCTCCACTGTACTTTTTTGTTACTTAATTCTCCTACAACAGGTGGACATGGCATTAGGGAATCATGCAGGGAGCCATCAGAAGCTCAGTACCGCCTCACCTCTTTGCATATGAACTGGCATTCTTGGATGCCTGCTGAAGCCCACAGCCCCATAGCAGACTCACGGACTGCCCTCTAACCTCACTAACCTTTTTGAAACTTCTGTCAATTCAGCTGCCCTCTCCAAGCATGTGAGCAGTATCAAGAGCAAACAAAAGGAGCAGCAGTCTCCACTGGCCTTGACCTCTCTTTCTGGACAGGAATCAGGCTGGGCCTGACTGAATGGGGAATAATGATAGTGCAGAGGAAGAGGGGACCCCACAGGAATCTGCAAACAAGGTACAGATTACTTGTGCTTGCATCATACCAGGACAATTCCCAAAATTCATAATAATAGCTCTGATTACTAGTTTTGCTCCAAAATAGACAAGATGACTTCCTCTTCCTGACTGAGCAAGCAAGACCAGAGATCCCGAGCAGACTGGGCCCTGCATCCAAAGACCAGAACATGATATTGGCCTCTTCGTATACAAAATGCTGCCCCATTTGTCTATTTCAGAACAATGAAAATTAAGCAGGATTATATTATTTCCAATATTTGTATACCACTTAAATATAATAAAATCCCAAGTAGTTCATGCACAGTTTGTCTTCAGGTTCCTCTGTCCTCCAAGTAATGAGCACATCTGGTACCACTTCTGAAAGAACAAGTTGAATGTTCACATATACAATTTCTGTGAGGGTCTGTCAAGCATTCCAGACTTGGATGCAACCATTTATCCTTTCTATTGCATGTTAGCAAGGAAAGGAGACATGCCCCCCGCTAAAAACACGCTAGCTTCCTGGCTTTAAAGAACATCTGAGTGTAACTTGTTCTGCATCCTTCCCCACCAATTAAGGAACATTCTGTAATGTAATATAATAATAATCAGCAGCACAGAATGGGGAAGATTCTGCAGAGATCCTATTATCAAAATGTATGCTAATAATATAGCCAAAACAGTGTCACCTATGCATGAGAGGGAACTGTCTACCGTCAACTGCCCTATGGAAAAACAAAGAGTGAAGGAGGCCTGCAAAGAAGACACCAGAGCCATTGTACCTGGACTGTCCTATCTCTGCCGCTGCCCTATCACAGTG